AAAGTATATGTGAACTGCTGTATGCAAAGTGAATTTGCTCTGTAAATCTTCACCCAAATCACAATAAATAAATAAATGAAAAGAATATCATTCATGAAGAAAGCAAAAGGTCATTAAAAAGACAGGAAAGGAAAAAAAGACCAAAATGGATGTCAGAAGAGACTCTGAAACTTGCCCTTGAATGGAGAGTAGCTAAAGCAAATAGAAGAAATGACAAGATGAAAGATCTAAACAGAAGATTTCAGAGAGCAACTCAAGAAGACAGAGTCAATTATTATTATGAGATGTGCAAAGATATGGAGTTGGAAAACCAAAAGGGAGGAACACGCTCAGCATCTCTCAAGCTGAAAGAACTGAAGAGGAAATTTAAGCCTGGAGTTGCAATATTGAAAGATTCTATGGGCAATATATTGAATGATGCAGGAAACATCAAAAGAAGATGGAAAGAGTACACAGAGTCACTGTACTAAAAAGAATTGGTCGATGTTCATCCATTTCAGGAGGTGGTGTTCTGGTTACCTAGTGTGACTCTGACAGGAATATACCACAAATGGGATGGCTTTAACAAACAGGAGTTTATTCTCTTACAGTTTGGAGGCTTTAAGTCCAAGTTCAAAGTGCCATGCTTTAGGGGCTGGGTGAAAGCCCCTCAACCTTGGCCTTCAGCCTCCTGCTCCTGGCCCACTAAATCTGGAGGCTTTTCTTCACTCAGCTGCTGGCTGCTGAGGCTGACAAGCCCAAGGTTGACAAGTAAAAAGGCACAGTCCCAGTGTTACCAAACCATATGGCAGGCCATTAATTCAAGACAATTGAAAGTCCCAAGGTCGGCAGAGCATGGCAGGCTGCTAAAAAATGACACGGCTACACACAGGGTTCGAGCATGCCATAAGCTAGAGCCCGTTCCCAAAACTATATCTTATGTATGGGAAACAGACCACATGCCCAAAGCAGCTACTCAGTTGCTCCAATAGATTCCACCATGGAGTTAGTTACCAGTCTCACCATGGGAAATAACTATATTCAGCTGCCCAGCCACTCAACCAGGCCCAGCCAAGTTGACACACAGACTTAACCACCACAGGTGGCATATGATCAAGAACCAATGGTATTGAAGGAAGAAGTTGAAGCTGCACTGAGGGAAGAGGTGAAAAACAAGTCTCCAAGAATTGACGGGATACCCACTGAGATGTTTCAACAAACACACGTGGTGCTAGAGGCAGTCACTCGACTATGCCAAGAGATTTGGAAGACAGCTACCTGGCCAACTGGAAAATACCCGTATTTGTACTTATTCCAAAGAAATGTGGAAATTATTGAACAACATCATTAATATCTCATGCAAGTAAAATATTACTGAAGATAATTCATAAATATAATGATAATTCAGCAGTATGTTGACAGAGAACTTCCAGAAATGTAAGCTGGATTCAGAAGAGGACATGGAATAAGGAATATCATTGCTGATGTCAGATGGATCTTGGCTCAAAGCAAAGAATACCAGAAAGATGTTTACTTGTGTTTTAATGACTATGCAAAGGCATTCACTTGTGTGGATTATAGCAAATTTTGGATAACTTTGAGAAGAATGGGAATTCCAAAACACTTAACTGTGCTCATGAGGAACTTGTACATAGACCAGGAGGCTGTCATTTGAACAGAACAAGGAGACAGTGCATGGTTTAAAATCAAGAAGGGAGTGCATCAGGGTTGTATCCTTTCACCGTACTTATTCAATCTGTATGCTGAGCAGATAATCTGAGAAGCTAGAGTATACGAAGAACATGGGATTAGGATTGGAGGAAGAATCATTAACAGCCTACGTTATGCAGATGACACAACTTTGCTTGCTGAAAGTGAGGATGACTTGAAATACTTACTGATGAAGATTGAAGACTGCAGTCTGCAGCATGGATTGCACCTCAATATAAAGAAAACAAAAATCCTCACAACGGGACCAGTAAGCAGCATGATGATAAATGGAGAAAAGATTGAAGTTGTTAAAGACTTCATATTACTTGGTTCTGCAATCAACACCAATGGAAGCAGCAGTGAAGGTCAGACGTCATATAGCATTGGGCATATCTGCTGCAAAGGACCTCTTTTAAATGCTGAAGAGCAAAGATGTTTCCTTGAAGACTAAGGTGCATTGGACACAAGCCATGGTATTTTCATTCGCCTGATATGCATGTGAGAGCTGGACAATGAAAAGGAAGACTGAAGAAAAGTCTATGCTTTTGAGTTGTGGTGTTGGTGAAGAATGCTGAAAGTACCATGGACTGCTAAAAGAACTAACAAATCTGTCCTGGAGGAAGTGCAGCCGAAATACTCCTTGGAGGCGAGAAAAGCCAGATTTCGTCTCACCTACTTTGGTCATGTTGTAAGAAGGGACCATTCCCTGGAGAAGGATGTCACGCTTGGCAAAGTGGAGGGACAACAGAAAAGGGGAAGGCCCTCAACGAGATGGATTGACACAGTGGCTGCAGCTATGGGCTCAGGTATAGCAAAGATTGTGGGGCTGGCACAGGACTGGGCAGTGTTTTGTTCTGCTGTACATATGGTTACTATGAGTCAGAGACGACTCAATGGCACCTAACATCAACAACAAACAAATTTTGATAGAGTGTTTTCATTTTAATTCATTTCATGATATTTTAAAATTTTCCATGGAATATTTATAGGTTTAATTTCAAAATATTTGAAAGATTTTCCAGACATCTTACTGATGTTAATATCTAGCTTAATTCTGTTGGGGTCAGACAGTATATTTTATATTATTTCAGTTCTTTCACATTTAATGTGATTTGTGATATAGCAGCATAGTGCTTAAGGCATTTGACTGCTAACCAGAAGTCTGGCAGTTCAAACCCACCACCACTCCTCAAAAGGAAGGTTGGGCAATCTACTTCCATAGTGATACTGCCTTGGAAACCCAAGGAGGGGTCGCTGTGAGTCAGGTTTGACTCGACGGCAGTGAGTTGGTTGGTTGGTTAGTTGTGATATGACCCAGAAGATGAGCTATCTTAATGAATGTTCCACGGGCACTGATTATGTATTCTGCTGTTGTTAATTAGAACATCCATAAATGTCAGTGAGGTCAAGTTGGTTGATACTGTTGTTCAAGTCTTCTATATTTTTACTGCTTTTCTGCCTGCTTTTATATTAGTTATTGAGAGATCAGTGTGGAAATCTCTAAGCTAATTTTAAGTGTCTTTATTTCCCTCTTGAATAACTCTAGTTCTTGCTTTGGGTATTTTGAAGCTGTGTTACTAGGTATATGCGTATTTAGGATTGATATGTCCTTTTGATGGATCAAGTCCTTTTGCATTATTAAATAGACTCTTTGTCTTTGGTAGTAGTCTTTGCTCAGAAGTCTGCTTTGTCTGGTAGTAATTCAGCCACTGCAGCTCACTTTGATTAGTGTTTGTGTGGTGTATCCTTCTCCATCCTTCCACTTCTGTGTCTTTATATTTAAAGCTGGTTTCTTGTAGGCAGCATACAACAGGAGTGAGCTTTCTATTTGACCTGACAGTCTCTGTACTATAATTGCAGTGTGTTCGTTGCTCACATTTAATGCACTTGTCAGTGTGACTTGTGTTTAAATATACCATGTTGCTGAATTACTACATCTAAAAACACTGATCTCTTTATTTTTCCCTACTTCAAGATCTTTGGTGATTCACTGTTCTCTGAGAAGTAAATCCTTGTGCGCCCTAACCTTTAAAGCTTCTTACCATGTGACCCACGTTACCAGTTTCATCTTTTTTTTCATGGTTGCCTTGGTATACTCTGCTTTTTGGGTACTGTGTTTCCCCAAATAACAGTGTATCTGTCCTTTCCCGTCTTTGCCCATTTGCACGTTTGGAACTCGGTCTGGGATGCCATTTGCTTTTCGTCTAAGTTAATCCCCCCTACCGCAGTGACTCTTTACAGCATTAACCAGATCCTGCCTTATGTCAGTTATTTGTGTGCATGCTTTTGCATGTCTTTAGATCAGATGTGATACAAAGGGTAATGTGTTACGTTTGTGTCATCCATTAGAGTTTATGAAATTTTTGATGTGTGCTACTCCATTTCCATTTTTATCCTGTAGCATTTAGTGAGGTATATAGGGCGAATATGATTAGCACCATTTTAAAGATAAGTAGAATGACACTCAGAAAGGTTACATGGCTTGTCTGAGGCCACATCACCATCAAGCAACAGACTTGGTCCTGAGCAGGGGACACCAAGTCCAGGGTCATCCTGACATTTCTTCAATGTCAGTGATCCTGTATTGATCATTTTTTAGTTCCTCACAGTGGTTGCATCTATTCCAGGCTCAGTTCATGTTTCTTGCATCATATTCACTTACTTCACTCAGTAGTTCCTCCATGCTTGATAGGTAGTGAATAAAGTGATGTTTGTTGACTACCTGTTGTGGTAGGGTGATAAAACTTTACATGTATATATATATATATATTTAAATTTTTGCCACAACCTGCATATTAATTCATTGCGGTAAATAGGGTTATTCTCATGTCTCATGGCATAGATGAGAAATTCAGCCTCAGGAGGGTTAATGGAAGTTTTGGTCCAGGATTTGAACCCATGCCATTTCTCTTTCTTCTGAGCTGGTCTCCTTGCCTAATCACATGATGGTATGCATGCTCACAAAGGTCATCTTACAGCTTTACCTTCTACGACTATTCTTTTTAGGCAGTAAATGATAGTTTAAACCATCTATGTTTAGAATATGTCCTCTGAGTTCTCTGACTTTCTAGGTTTTTTGTGCTAATTCATGGTGAAAATTTTACAAAAGAGCTTTATTTAGTAATTCTGTTTCTTTTAGGCAGTATTTGGCAGTTGTATTCAAAGATAAACCCCTGGAGTTATGGGATGTTAGGACTTGTACCCTCCTTAGAGAAATGTCCAAAAACTTCCCTGCAATAACAGCTTTGGTAAGTTATGATTTAGGAATGAAATGGTTTATATAAGTGTGTATATATGTGGTAAATGTTATTCTTTAGTTTGAGTTGAAATCATTAATGCCAATGTAGTTTCTTGTTGTAAATAAAAGGATCTAAACAAATGGAGGTGAATCTTACTTTCTTGCATGAACCAGCCTAATATTACGTTGGTGCAATTCTAATCAAAATTTTATTTGGGTTTTTTGAGGAACATGAAAAACATGTTTGAAAATGCTTCTGAAACAATGTTGTTGTTGTTGTTGTTTGCCGTCGAGTCGGACCCAACTCATAGCGACCCCTCCTTGGGTTTCCTAGGCAGTATCATTACGGAAGTATATTGCCCCATCTTCCTTCCGAGGAGTGGCTGGTGGATTTGAACCGCCAGCCTTCTGGTTAGCAGTCAAGTGCCATAGCCACTATGCTACCAGAGCTCCTATTTTCTTATTTCTGAAACAATAAGGGTCCTGAATAACTAAGTCAACCCTCAAAAAGAGGAGTACAAGGGGCCCATCCTGCCAGCTTTTACTAAATATTACAGAACCGTAGGAATGAAAATAGTCATATTGGGGCCAGACCCATAAATATTTGGGAGCTTAATATACAGTAAAGTAACAAAGCAATGGGGAGAGGACGGATTATTTACTAGATAGTGTTGGGGAAACTGTCCCACTAGGTGGAGAAAAACAGTGGATCCCTATCTAATACCACATGCAAAGGAGGATTAAAGACCTAAATGTGAAAATGTAAAAGTATAAAATTAATAGAATAAAATAAAGAATATTTTTGTGACCTGACAGGACAGGACATCAGAAACTGAAACCAGAAGGGGGAAACAAAATGAATTTGATCATATCAAGAATAATGCTTTCTGTTCAATGAAAGACACCACTGTCAAAGTTAAACACAGAAGACAGGTTAGATAAAGACTGTTTCCAATGTCTAACACGATCACAGGAGTTCTAGTGGCTCAGTGGTTAAGGCATCCGGCTCCTAGAAAGATGAGGCAGTCTGCTTCTGTAAAGATTTACAGTCGTGGAAGCGCTATGGGGCGGTTCTCCCCTGTTCTGTAGGGTCACTATGAGTTGGAGTCAACTCAGTGGCAGGGGATTTTGGTTCTTGGTGTTAACACTACCAAGGGACTAACCAATCCCAGGGGGATTAGTATAAGGGAACTCTGCAGACCAAAAGGAAAAGTTAGGAACCCAGTGGAAAAGCAGGCACAGTGTGTGAAAGAAATCAGAAAGGCCAGGAAGCATTTGAAGCAGTGTTCTCGCTCATTAGTTTTAGAAGTGTGTAAAGAGAAGTGGCCATGGTACACCTTGTAGACTGACAGATCTGGAAAGGCAGCGGGCGTCGGGTGCAGCCCTTAGGGATCATCAGCCACTGCTGGGAAGGATACGGACCAGGCAGCCAGGCTGGGGAGTGACCGGCCCCGCTTAGCACAGGTCCATGTGCTCCTAAAGGACCTTGCACGAGGACATTGGACCAGGCAGCCAGGCTGGGGAGTGACCGGCCCCACTTAGGCACGCACAGGTCCATGTGCTCCTAAAGGACTTTGCACAAGGACATTGGACCAGGCAGCCAGGCTGGGGAGTGACCGGCCCCGCTTAGCACAGGTCCATGTGCTCCTAAAGGACCTTGCACAAGGACATTGGTGGCAACACTGTTTGTTGTGATGGGAGTTTGGAGACGGCCTGGGTGTCCTCTGCTGAGAGACAGATTCAAAAGTGGCAGATGTGCTGTGGTGGAGTGGTATGTAGCATCCCAAAACAGCAAGGTTGTTGCGTTGTATTGAGAAGAAAGTGTAAGGAACAGAATGAGATGTACAGCACAGCACTGTTTATGTCAATTACAAATATACGATGTCCAGTAACTTCACCTTAGGAGGGGACACACACGTACAGGGAGACGTGGGCTAAATGCATTGCAGCAGGTGGTGATATAAGGGAATAAATAAAGCAAGAGAGGCCTTTGTGGGCCTGCTTGAGGTAATGGGCTGTGATGTGTGGGGCATGATCGTCTCAACCCTGTGCCCCTAAGGGGAGGCGGGCCAGGAGAGGTCCGTCCAGACGGGAATCAGATACAGCATAACTGACTTCATTAGTTTCTTTTTGTGATAAGAAAGCATCAAAAGGTTAGACCTTTCAGAAGTTTGTCATTAAACATTTATATTACTAAAATCTGCTACTTCAAGCTTGAATTAAAACACGCTTATGAAACCTGTCTACAAATAGCTAAGGCCTAAAGAGAAAATGGTACTTCCTGTGTAGTAATACTAAGTAATACTGGACAGTGGTGAATACGCATAGCTTTTCGGGAAGGAAAGCTTCTGACAGAAGGAAACCCAGCACATGTCTTGGTCTGTCTGCACAGGAGTGGTCACCATCTCACAACTTGAAGAGCCTGAGAAAGAAGCAGCTCGCCACTCGCGAGGCCATGGCCCGCCAGACTGTGGTGTCAGACACAGAGCTGAGCATCGTTGAGTCATCCGTCATCAGGTACAGGACTCCAGGACACTGCTTCCTGCCACTGTCGTTTGTGATGTCATGACCATTGTTGGGGCTTGACAAGTGCCGTCCAAAGGCATTTGCTTTGGAACCTAACTTTGTTTCATATTTCAGTGTGTGTCCAGATTACTGAAAAGTTACTCTTGTTATTGTATTGCTTCCTGCAGGCAATAGCGTATGCAGTGTTCCCACCTGTCAGCATTCGTTAGTGAAGACAGTGCCCTTCTCTTCCATAAGTGCCAGCTTCTTAAATTCAAAGGAAGGTAGCATGAACACACAGATAGACCCTGTTACTGTTTATGGACACCAAAGAAAATGAAAATTCTAGATTTAAATCCAGTCCCCATCCTCATCCCCACCAGTTTCACAAATGAAAAAGCTTCAGAGCTAATGATGGGTAGACGTAAGACATCTCTCTTGCTGGCGAGGATTCTGGAGCAGAAACAGCTAAGAGGTCCTTTCCCTTGGGTTGGACGTAGCTCACCATGTCCCCCTGTAGGAGGTAGTCTTTCTTTTGTCACACGACTGAGAGTGGTTTGTGTTTTCCTGTCATTAGTTAGGCACAGTTTAGTTTCAGACTTTTTCTTTCAGTGGTTTTGACCACCTGTTAATGCATCTATATTTTGGGTGAGTTAACCCAGCAGTCACTCTTCAGAAGCAAGATTGGGCAATCTACTTCTGTAGCAACGCTGCCTCAGAAACCCAAGGAGGGGTCGCTGTGAGTCGGATCCGACTGCACGGTGGTGAGTTTGGTTTTTTGGTTTGGAATTAATTCTAGGTGTCATTTTTTTTTTTTTAAAGTTATATTTTATAATCCAAGCTGAGAAATGGGATCACATCACTTCTGCCATATTCTATTGATCATATAAACCAGCCGTAATGTAAAGTGACAGAAGACTACATACAGGTATAAATACCAGAAGACAGGGATCATTGGGGGCCATCTTGTAGGTTGGCTACCACACTCACACACTGCTGGTGGGAATGCATTGAGGTATAAATTCTGTCTAGGTGTCATTTTAAAGAAAAGAAATACCTTAATCCTATTTTCTCTGTCCCAAAGCCTGTTGCAGGAAGCAGAAAGTAAATCTGAGCTCAGTCAGCACTTCTCTGCCCGCGAGCATTTTGTGTTTACTGACAACGATGGCCAGGTTTATCACCTCACTGTTGAAGGCAACTCGGTGAAAGATAGCGCACGGATCCCACCAGACGTGAGTTCAGTCGAGACGAAACTGTGATCTAGAATTCTCATCAAAGATGTGGTTGGTTCCATATCCAGTGAAGCCACAGTTTGGTTGGGAAGCTCTTTTGGAAAACTTTAATGTCTGTAAGCTTCACTGTTTGAGAGAGATTATCAGTGACTAAACATATACCACACTGCTGGGGATTAGAGAACCACTACTTTGATTACATGCTTCCATTTGCACTCATTTTTGCCCCCACAGTTACCCTTGAGGCATTCATCTCCGTTTGATCTCCCGTGACACCGAGGGGGGAGTAAGCACTTTCCCCAGTCACCCAGCTGAGTTATAAGCAGAGCAGCCTTCCCTTCAGGCCTTTCTGTCTCACTTCAGTGTCTGTCTTCTTCCCATTTCAGGCTCTACCCTGGGGATTCGACTTACAATCTAGTATTATTTTGGATAATAGTAATCAGGTTGTAAGTGTAATGAATGTTGTTAATATTTACTAACTTCCGTGTATCTGTCTCATGGCCTTGCGGAGTCCTTTAACTCAGGTTTTTGAGTTAATAGTTTGTATCAGCATGTATCTCACAAGTGTTGCTGTTAACGATTTTTATTAACTAATTCAGACTGGATGAGGATGGTGCAGGACCAGGCGGTGTTTCATTCTGTTGTGCACAGGGTCACTACCAGTTAGAACTGACTCAATGGCACCTGACAGCAAAAATGCAGACTGGTACGATAGTTAAATGTAGACCTGAGGTGATTTATATACATACATACATACATACGTATATCATTGCCATCTAAAAACAGAACATTTTAGTAGAATGCCAACCCCTGTATTTTATAGGTGGCTTGGGGTCTCGTGGTCAAGGACCAAATGCTGGCTGGGGCTGCAGTCATTTGAGGTGAGATGGGCCAGGAGGACCCATTTCCAAGAAGGCGTCTCACATGGCTGGGAGATGAATGCTAGTGCTTGGTGAGAGGCCTCAGTTCCTCTACACTTGGACCTCTCCATACACTTATTTGAGTATCCTCACAGCTTGGCAGCTGGCTTCCCCCAAAGCCAGTAATCCAAGAGAGAGCAAGGCCGCTTTTCACAGCGTCCTGCTGGTTACGCAGATGAGCCCTCTTCAGCACGAAGGGACGTGCACACCAAAGTGCAGACTCAGTGGGAGCCTCTTAGAGGTTGTCTTCCTTCCTCATCTTGCTTATTTACAACTACAGAATTGAAGGCATCCCCTCAACAGCCTTCATCACTTGTAAAAGTAGACACTAAGATGTGTAACAGGCGATAGACTTTTACTTTTCTTATTATGTGGAGCAAGCTGTGGAGGAGACTCAGTAAGTCTGACTCTGTAGTTCATTTTAAAATGTCTCCAGTATTGCCAGAAACTGCCAGTAGTTTGAAAGGATGAAAATAATGATGTGACTGTGAAAGTTGATGTTTCATCGACAATGATGATAGGAAAAGTAACTAACTCTAAGTGTGTAGGAAGGACAGCTATAGATTTAGGAGTTCCAGTGTCAAGTAGTCGCCTTGGGAGGATCAGCGTGCTTCTTGAGCAGAACCCCCATCCCAGCTTGTCTGGAGCCACTCAGACAGCTCAGCCTCTGCTTCGTAGCCACTTTACATTGAGATTAGGATGTGGAAACAGTACAAGATTTCACGTTCTAATTTCTGAGACACCAGTTTTAAAAAAAGCATTTACAATTTGTGGACACTAGGCTCCCGAGTTTTCCTTTAGTGCACAGTAATGGCAGCTCACAGTTTGTAAGGTCCGTCTGTTTGTGGAGCCTCAAGTCAGGCTACAGCAGGGCTCTGTCCTGCAGCCAGGCCCCTTGAGTTCACAGCTGGTACCACTTTCTCCAGGAATGACCAGCTTAGGAAGGGCCCAGCCTCTAGGGAAAGTCGCACATACTTTAGAGCAGACGAGTATTGGGGGAAAAGGAATACTTGGGGAATCAGTTTGGTTGATTATTTTTATTCTCTGTATTTTCCAGTGACTACTTCCGTAGTGATACTGCCTCGGAAACCCAAGGAGGGGTCGCTATAAGTCGGGTCTGACTCGACGGCATATAACAACTAATATAGAACTCAGCCAGAGGCTTTTCTGTTTGTTTAAACCCAAATAAGGGGGTTACTTATCTTAACCCCCTACCCTCCATGTCAGCACATTATGAGTTTATGAGTGGAAGCTTTTGCTCTTCATTTCAGCCCCAGAAGGGAGGGTGAATAGAAGTTCAAAGAAGGGGAGCCTTGGCCTATTTTGCATCATGTGCACCTGGGGAGTCCACGAGTGACAGCCTCAGAAGACTAGAAAAATGAGAGAGAAGGCAGCCATGCTGGCTGCCAGCCTTCCTTCTGACCCGTGCCCCTCGTATTTGACACGTAGGCAACATATCAGCGTCAAGTAGTACTACTCTGTTGAGCTTGATGGGTTGGAACCAACTCGGGAGCAGTGAGCTTGGGCTTTCTCGTTGGTTTTCTGGAGCTTTTCTTTTGCATTGCTCTTCTCTGCGGGTTTAGCAGAGCCATATGCAGGCGCGTCTGTGCCGTAGCCTCTGAAAGCTCCTTGCTGTCGCCATGTGGTTTGTGTACTGTCGGTAAACGCTGACGTAGGAAGGTCTGGCTCATCTATTCAGTGATTCTAAGCTGGTGACATTGTGGCTGCTGGACAGATTTAAACTTTAGTGCTCTAACTTTTAGCAGTTGGAAAGTCAGATTATAAAAGTTCTCAAGACTGAAAAGTAAATGTAAGACAAATTCTTGGTGAAACATTCTGGTAGTGTGGTCAGGAATAAAAAAGGACGATTATCTGGGGTGTGGCTCCATTCTACACCAGTTTCCACTGATTTTTATGACTCCTAGGATTTTGTAGGATTGAACTCATTGTAATGCTATTAACTCATTATAATACTGTAACATGCTGATACTGAATTCAGTTTTCCTTTGGTTTCTTGACTGCCACTGGGATTTAAGCAATATGTGGATGTGCGCCAGTCTGTTAGCAGGCCATTTGGCAAACCCTTGGCACTTTCCTATGGCTTCCCATGCATACAAGGAAGACCTAATGCATAAGCTTCCTGAGAGCGAAACATGTGGATTTTTGTATTGTACTGTAAATGCAAAAACAGGGTTTCTCTCAATGAGTAGAGAAATTATTGAACAGTAAATTATTACTTCATAGCTCACATGTGTTGACTGTTTACGATATGGCAGGCATTGCCCTCAGTCTTCACCTGTGTAAATGTCATAACACTAATAGGAACTCCTCAAGTTTCATGCCATTACCCTGTCATACTGATGATAAATGCAAGATAGAGCAAGTTTCCGTAAACTTGCCCCAGAGCGCACAGTGGTTTAAGTGGTGAGGCTCGGGTTAGAGCGCAGGCCCCTCAGGTCTGCCCCACCCCGCCCTGTGCTTCTGTCAGAGCGCCCCTCTCTTCCCCCATGAGCTGGGGTCCACACGCTGGGGCCCACACGCTGGGGGTACACCGTCTGGGGTGGTTTTCTTCCTTGTACTTGTTTCCTGTTTGTGACTTCTTTGCAGAGCTTTCTGTGAACTCAAGTTGTGCATAAACCTTTAATGAGCACTATCTCTTCACTTTCATTGTTCCATAAAGTTCCAGAAGGTACCAGTGAAGCTCTGGGTTCTTTATCAGTAGAGGCCTTGCTGCACAGTTAATCCTGAAGCAGCCTGTGTTCCCTGGACATGGCTTTATTTACCCTTGTGCATTGATAGGTGAGTTAGACACAAGGTGGAGAAGTTCAAGCCAAGACCCGTTTCTGGAAGGGGCTCCTTTCCTTTGCTTTATTTTTATTTAGAAATGCCCTCTACAGGCACTTCTAAGAAATGCCCTCAAAGACATCCTTTCTCCTTAAATCTATCTCAAACAGCTTACACTCTGTCCAGTTGAATTCTCCTGTTTCTTCATAGTTTCACTTGGCAAGCTGTATTGAGGTCTATGAGAGTTTGATGTCATTCACCCTTAAACAAAACCCCTTGTAATTAAATTTTACCAAACTATCTTTATGACTTCATTATGGCCATTGAGTAAAACTAGTTCTCTCTCTCGATGGGTGTAAGTAGCAAAGCTTCTGTGTGTTGTTCTCCAGGGAAGCATGGGCAGCATCACCTGCATAGCTTGGAAAGGTGATACCTTAGTTCTCGGTGATATGGATGGAAACTTGAACTTTTGGGATCTGAAAGGCCGAGTATCCAGGTACGAGCCAAGAGTGGAATTTTGTTATTTTGTTAAGAAAAGAAAAGTAACTTTTTGATTTATATAAATATGATTCTGTTGGAGGCTGTGACTTGGCAAGCGGGGTCACTAGACATGGCCAAGTGTAGCTTGACCTTTCAGGTCCCTGGTCACCTGAACTTGGGAGGAGGGACATTGAGCCAAGCCCCAGATCAGGCATAGAAGACTGATCTGCCAGTGGCTTGTGCAGAAGAGCCGGGGCCCAGTTGCAGCTGTAGTTAAAGGACAGGCCCTTCCTGTCAGATGTTCCTGTCCCAGAAAGTAAAACGATTCTCCTGTCATCAGGCCTTCTCAAAATGGAAAGAGGATGAGAGGTGGGACCTTGGTCCCACTGACTGTCTCACCTGGCATCGCAATGGTGTTTGGTCTCTGACTTTTGTTTGTTCTCAGAGGGATACCTACACACCGAAGTTGGGTGAGAAAAATTCGTTTTGCCCCCGGTAAAGGAAACCAAAAATTAATAGCAATGTACAATGACGGAGCTGAAGTGTGGGACACCAAAGAGGTAGGCCGCCCCTGAGAGTGCAGAGTTACATGAGCTGGGTTAGAAATGGAACCTGAGTAATGGATTTGTCGGGTTACTTAGGACAAATTACTTTCTTCTTTTTAGAAAATGTTACTTTTACGATATTTCTGTTCTAAAGGGGCATGGATTGTTTTTTATGCTATCACTGTATTCGGGACATTTAAAATGTGTCTTCATGTGCAAGATCAATGCCAGAACTGCTCACCTCTAAACTTAAGTCAGCCTTTGCCACAGGCACTGTCTTTCCTTGACCGTTTGATTGAGAATAATAAATAGCTCCCGTTTCTCTTTGAAAGTGACAACCACCTTTATTCTCACAGGTTCAGATGGTGAGCAGTTTAAGAAGTGGAAGAAACATGGCCTTTCGGATACTGGATGTGGACTGGTGCACATCAGACAAAGTGATCTTGGCGTCAGATGACGGATGTATCAGAGTCCTGGAGATGTCGATGAAGTCCACGTGTTATAGGATGGACGAGCAGGAGCTGATCGGTAGGGAAGCCTCGGGAGAGGGGCTCTCAAGCGTGTCTTCACTTACCGTCAACTTCTGTCGGGGGTTGGGGGCTGCCTCTTTCATTTCAATTGCATTTTCTAAGAATCTGGTTCAAAAAAATACATTCGCTTCAAGCTGGAGTGTGTTTATCACTGAGATGCTGTCTTCTGCATGACTACAGACATCAGTCATTCCCCAGCTCAGGTTTTATAAGCTCTCCAAGCCCTGGCGGTGCAGTGGTTAATGGACTTGGCTGCTAACCATAAGGTTCACAGTTCAATCTCATGAGCTGCCCCATAGGAGAAGTCTGTGGCAGTCTGCTTCTGTAAAGATGACCTGTTGTATCCAGGGGTAACTTTTGAACCATTTCATTGTATACATTCAGAAATACAGTGAGCACAATGAATCCTAAGATTGAATACAAGAAACAGTTGAACCCGACCGAACTGGGGAACAAATTGGTAACATACCCCCCACACACACACACAGAGGTCAAGTAACTTTGAAACAGAACGCTTACTGGACACCGTCAGTGGTTTACAGTCTAAGGACAGAGGCCTGCAAAGGAACTTTGAACTTCAGTAGTTGACAGTGGTGGTAGTAATTCTGAAACTGTTTTGTGCAAATTATGTCCTGGAACAAGTAAATAACTAATCATGGTTTGGGGGAATGATGGTTCCTACTGGGGGATACGGGAGATACAAACAGGATGGGGCAGAAAGCTCAGGTGTTGGGTTTGCATTGGTGGTATAAATCCCTACCTTGTTAAGAAGTGCCATTCCCAGTGGGTCAGTGACAGGAAGCACTCCTCACCCCAGTTCTGGTTTGTGAATTCCATTTCCTGAATAAAAGGGACAGGTGAGCCTGGGATATTTTATCGTTCCAGAAATTGAGACAATGTTAAAAAAAACCAAGAGGACCCGTCAAAAGATAGAGAAACTGGCTTCAAGGGGCTCCCACTGCCAAATCAGGGCAATCTGCACATTGTAAAGGATGGTGGCAGTATTTGGTTAGGTGTTGAATTCTGTAGTAATCAAAGTAAGGGACTGGGGGCTGGGAAGTGCATGTTTACGGAAGAATGCCAGTTGATATATGTAGAAAGAATAATGGAGTTAGTTACCAATGGGCAACCCCTGATGTAATAACTAATTCAAGCAAGGATCATTAGTGGGTGCTTAGTCTTTAGATAAAAGGATGTCCGGGACTAGGAAGTAGGTTGCCTTGCACTGTCTCCTCACATGTGACCAATATAAAGGAGGAAAGGTGCCCTTAGAGCACTCTGGTGAATTCCACCTTAACTGGATGATCAAGTAGAGGAGTGCCCATAAGGAGATCATCTGAGATGTCCCTTCTGGTGGGATGCAGTGGGCATATACAATACTGTGAGTGTTCTTGGCCCAGTGTCCACCTGACTCTTCCTCGGCTCCCCGCACAGTTCTCTGCTGACTCCTCTCCTGACGTCTGTAGCAGCATACAAGCACATTACAAAACCACCTTTCTGTCCTAGAGCCTGTGTGGTGCCCATATCTCCTTGTTCCCAGGGCCTCCCTGGCCTTGAAAGCCTTCCTACTGCACCAGCCTTGGGGTGGACAGTACTCGTTGGACATTTCTCAAGTGTAAGTAGTTTGCATTCTTGTTCTTTTCTTAATCTCCTTGGGGTTGAAGGACACCCATGAAAATCTACCGTGGCCTGCCTCAAGGCTCAAAGGCAAGGGCACTAAGCCTCAAAGCCAGGCTGGCAGAGAAGGCAGACAGTGAAAGGACCGCCCATTGGCCTCTCTTTCCCATCACTGTCCAGGGTCCTCTGGCAGCATGGTGTGTGGTGAAGCTGGGAAGACATCTGCTGCTGTCAAGTGGCCATTAGGAAAAGATGAGTGTGGTCAGGGTTGACACAGGCCAAGCCAGACTTGGGGCCAAGCCTGATTCTTTTTAAAAGAGGCGTCAGTGGGCCTGCTTTAGAAGTTTATGATGTTTTCATAAATCTCAATGCCTGCCTTGTTGCAAAACACTCTTCACAGAAACTGTGATTAGTGGTTATTGCTTAAATCCACAGACGTGTGCTGAGGTGACTTCCTGTGTAGGGCACAGGTCGCCATGGGGTGTGGAAATTAAAGACAGTGACGCAGGGAGTTCTGTCCTCCAGAATGAGCTGTTCGGGAAAATGATTCTGCAGAGAACTGACAGGTTCCCTGTGTCATCGCTAAGTTCCCTGTTTGATATTGCTGGTGCCATTGAGACATTGCCAACTCAGAGCAACCCCATGTGACGGGAGAACTGCCCCCATGGGGTTTTCTGGGCTGTAGTCTTTATGGGAGCAGGTCACCTGGTGCTCCTCCCACAGAGCCGCCGGATGGGTTCAAATCGCCAACTTTTCAGTTAGCAACCTCCCACTTAACTGCTGTGCCTCAGTTCCCTACTTAACAGAATCCAAATCTGGTAGTTTTCTGAGCCCGCTAATACATTTTCTGGTTTCGTGAAAACCAGACACTTTCTTTACTCATTCCTTTATCCTGACTCAGTGAGATGGGAGCAGACGTGAAGGTGATTGGTGGGCTCCGTGGACGCCCTTGCCGTTTGGGTGCATAACCAGATTTGTAACCAAGGACTGCAGAACGGCTGTTCCTGTGTTAACGCGGTGCACAGCTTTTCCCTTGCAGGAGTACGCGGCTTTGAGGAAAGAGGGAATGAACTCCTTCCATTTTTCTCTGCAGCGAGTATCCAGAAAGTGAAGAAATAAAGACTGTCCTTCAGGAGCAACTGAATTCGTTGTCCAAGTAAGCCCTCTAAGTGTGCCTTGTCAGAAGATAGCAGTCTGAGAAGGAGAAGCACAAGGCTAGAGGCTCTTAAAAATGAAAATCAGTTGCATTATGGAAAATACCTGTGGCCCAGGGAGACGGCATCTGTTCGTAGGTGTCTGTTTCCCTTTAGGGTTTTTGGAAGCATGCTTATGTAATTTTAAGTGACAGAGCATCTGTCTTCAGCGAGTTAGAAAGGTCGGGTTGCTCTGGTGTGGGTCAGTGAGAGGTGGAAGCTGTGGGGGCATCACTGTGGCCAGCCTCTGTCCCGTGTCCCTGTGGAGCTGCACACGAGAAGACAGACCGGCTGATTGTTGCGTGTCGGCTCTCCTCTCTGCAGATGAGTTCTGTGTGTCAGGTGCTGTGTGTGTACAATTCCAGCTAAGACCGCAATACGGTCCCGAGAGCCCAGAGCATTTCAAAACCATGTGTCAGAAACAGCATTGCAAACATAGAAGAGAAATACAGGTCTGCAGGGAGTTCTTGGTGAAACAGCTCATTGTTACCGTCTACAATCTGTCACACACAATTCTGACGTTTAATAGATTAACCTTAAGAGAATGTTTTATTGAACATATATTCAAAATAATTTTGTCTTCTCCATCCAAAGATTAACATTTATGTTTAAATGGAAAACTACATGTTTAAGACTCACTTCCCATCTGATCACAAACGGCTTACATTTGGCTACTTTTGAAACACCCGTTTATAAACACACTATGAATTCTGAATACCATCTTGTCTGCATTGTATACTGTTCCTGATGGGGGGCGGAATAATTTTATCACTACTGACATCCTTGTTCACATAGTCAGTAACTGTTCATATTCTTGAAACACCAGTTGAACTGTTGCGAGAACATAAGCCAAACATCGGCTCCAGGCCCCGCCGGTGGTCCTGGTGGTCGGGAGTCAAGCAGTACTGCTTTTCCAGGCCTGAAACACTCAAGCCCTACTCAGCTTGTATGATTTTGGGGTCATGGCAAAGGGACTTCTTTATAATAAGGTGGACATACCTCCTTTGAGGGGTCTTCCCATTCCAGAGTGGATTGACTCATTTCCATGTGTCACTGTTTGATGCAAAATGGCTGTCTGACCCCTGTCTGTATCCCTGTCCGCAGTGACATAAAGAAGCTCTTACTGGACCCAGGATTCACTCTCTTGCAGAGGTGCCTGCTTGTTTCAAGGTAACACTGGTAGAAGCTTCTTGCCAGACACAGAGAATTTCACATTTACTCATTTCTCTTAATAGGGGTTTTAGTTAAGGCTGAATTCCTTAAGATTTTAGGAAAACCTAGGAGTTCATCCTTTAGATCTGACTTAAATTACTGTTGTGAGTAGGAATGAAAACAGGGAAACAGGTTACAAAAATGAGCTCTGGGCCTCATGGCTGTCTCTACTGCAAGGCTTCCTCCTGCCAGCTTTATAAAATATGTGTTTGAAAATACCAGACACACAGGGCATGTAGTCAAGGGTGCTCGTAAGTTCCACTTAAAGCAGTGACCTATGCAGCCTCCCTGTAGGGCCATCACTTGTAGAAGACCCTCCCCTCCACCCCTCAGAGTACAGATAGCAGCTTGCTCTCTCCAGCCAGTCACCCCAGAGAAGTGGTTTCTAATGTGACAGGTGTGCTTGTGCGAGCCAGATAAATAACTGCCCAGGCTTCAGTGCTGCTCTCAACACAAATGAGATGGTCTTAACACGGGCCATTGGAGACTCATTCAGACTGGTTACAGTAAGACTTCCCAGTGTCGCGTGTAACACAGAGCAGGGAGATGTGTAGGTCTGAAGGGGCCTCGTGCAGGCAGGCTCCTGTGCTGTTGGAGACCCTGTGGCAGGGCGAGCCTGTTGCTTCACCCCTGCCAAGCATCAAGCCTGTGTCGCAGGCGGTCTTTCGGGTGACACAGCACTGTGTCCTCAGTACCTCAGACGTAGAAGGCCCTGTCGAGGCCGGCCTGTGCCGTCTGAGTTCGTTGTGACCGATGACACCCTCCTCAGGCTCTATGGTGATGAGTCGGAGCTGCACTTCTGGACTGTGGCTGCCCACTACCTGCACAGCTTCTCCCAGGAAAAGTTGACAGACACAGCGGCGACCCCAGAGGCTGCTCCTCAGGAGAGAGTGAACAACCCCCTTGACATGTGCTATGACATCCTCTGTGAAAATGCCTATTTTCAGGTATGACGCTCTCTGTAGTCGAACCTTCCAGGCCACCGTCTGGGTCACTTATGTCTTGGTAACTGTCAGAAATTTGAGAAACTTTTTGACTAAGTCTACGTGGTGGGAAGAAGCCCCTGGGCACATGAGCACCAGAAAGGTCTGGTTCAGGATTTGAAACACTCACTAACAAGTATTTCGTTCACTTGGTTTGAATTTCTTACTCTGAATTTATAAAGGGAGCTTAGTAGTTTTTTAACCTCCAGTGGAATACCTCACAAGAAGCCTTGGTGGTGCAGGGGTTAAGCACTTGGCTGCTAACTGAGAGGTTGGCAGTTTGAACCAACCAGCTGCTCCGTGGGAGGAAGATGAGGTAATCTGCTTCTATAAAGACTTACAGCCTTGGAAACCCTATAGGGGTTCTCCTTTGTCCCATAGGGTCGCTGTGAGTCAGAATTAACTCGACAGCAATGGGTTGGGTTTGGTTTTTACAGTGAAGTGCTTAGGATTTGTTTTTTCAGCTAATGTCTATACAGGCCAGCACACACACTACTGATACCACATGTAGCCATTTTACCTTTTCACATTCCTAGTTGTTGGATTTCTGTAGTGTTGATTCTCTAGCATGTTCAGAAGTCAAAGTAATGTTTATTAGGATGCTTTCATTACAAACATTAGATTTAAATAATTCAAAATCATATACTCCAGGCTCAGTCTTCTTTTGGTCTCTTTTTTCCTTCCTAGAAATTTCAACTGGAAAGGGTGAATCTACAGGAAGTAAAAAGGTCAACTTACGATCACACCAGGAAATGTACAGACCAGCTCCTTCTCTTGGGCCAAGTACGTCAGTTTTCATAATGTGTCTAGTGTTTGGTGGAGTTGCTGGCTGATTAGGGTATTGGAAACCACCCGTGCCCAGCACAGTGTTTTCCTCATTAGTGTGTCCTTCCCTGTGAGCAGGAGTGTGAATTTAGGCCTTTTCTCAAAACCCTACCAACAAGTCCACATGAAAGCAAAAGCACATGCTAATCAGCTTGTACTTCAGGCTGTCACAGATCAGACGAAGCCTAGCTTCGTGTTTCAGTTTTGTGTCTCTGAATTGACTGGTGCAGAGCCAGAATGGGCAGGTGTTGGAGCCCCATCTGAGGCAGGCTGTGGTGTCGTGCTTCTCTCAGCAGTCGTGTGACACTTGTGAGGCTCTCATGCAAGTACGCAGAGCACGTCTTGACCCTGCAGTCTCCCCTCAGGTGGAAACGCCTGTATTCCGTGCTATGACGTCTTCTCCCAGGTGGAAGTGTCAGTGTCCACATTATGAGTTGAGGGTTGTGTGGAAGGAGACTCGGGTTGTGATTAGAGAACCGTCCCCTCGTAGACAGACCGGGCCGTGCAGCTGCTGTTGGAGACGAGTGCAGACAACCAGCACTATTACTGCGACTCCCTGAAAGCCTGCTTGGTCACCACTGTCACCTCCTCAGGCCCTTCTCAGAGCACCATTAAGCTGGTGGCCACCAACATGATTGCCAACGGCAAGCTGGCAGGTAAGGCGTGTTTTGTGGGTATGTCTGTCAGTGCTCTGGAAAATCACACCCATTCCCAGGAAGGAATTGGGTGGAAGCGATTATAAGGAATTGTATATTTATGCTGAAGAAAAATCAAAAACTGATTGCTTGCTGTTGGCTAGGTGAGTGACCATCCGCACCTGTTCTGAAGAGGGAAGGGGCACCGCCCTGGGCAGACGCGATCAGGGGAAGCCAGCGAGGGGTTTGAGCTTCCTGTGGTTGGTTGCTGGGCTCTGTGCTGCTGAGCCAGGCTACCTGAATGGGGCCTTCACAGAACTCAGTCCTGGCACCTGAGATGAGGACGTCTCCAGTAGCTGTGGCATGTGCAGGGCTGGGCCGTGGCCATTTGACTTGCGCTGCTTGTCACCGGGCTGCTGTCTTCTTTCCCAGAGGGCGTGCAGCTGCTCTGTCTGCTGGACAAAGCTGCGGATGCCTGCCGCTACCTGCAGACCTACGGCGAATGGAACCGGGCCGCCTGGCTCGCCAAGGTAGTCATGTCCAAGCACACTAAGCATCTGGGGCAGAGGGTCAGCAGGGGCTCTTGGCCCCTGAGTTGGAAGGCTTTTTGGCTGCAGAGGTGCTTTGTGGGTATTTTCTTGCAGCTCTTACCATCCTGTTCTTTATGGGCACAGATCCCCTTCTTCCTGGAACACGGAGGTTGTGCTGGTAGCGATGAAGGGAAACCAAATGCCACCTCTGCCACCTGCAGAGGAGCCCGGTGGCAGCTGGGAGGAGGCCATCACCACTGGCCGTGGGGAGCAGCTGCCACAGGGCAGAACGTGCCATTTGTTTCAGGGGAACCAAGCCCGTGCTGTTTTGAGTTGGTTTGTTTTCTTGACACATGCAGGATATCTTTCTCTTTAACGTCTCAGGTCCGCTTAAACTCTGAAGAGTGTGCCGACGTCTTAAAGCGGTGGGTTGACCACCTGTGCTCTCCACAAGTCAATCAGAAGTCAAAGGCCCTCCTGGTCCTGTTGTCCCTGGGTTGCTTCTCCAGCGTGGCCGAGATGCTTCACAGGTAAGCCCTGAGCCTGGCGGCTGCTCGGGACCACAGGGTTTAACCCCTCACACTCACTTCAGGCTCCTCAGGTGGATGGTGGGCCTCAAAGTGTGGAGGAAGGGTACTTCAGGTTTCTTTAAAAACCTGAAGGAGAAACGTTTATTAATTCTTCATTTGGTCTAGGAGCAATGATATTTTTCTTCTAATAACTTCTAATAAATAATATACTAGTTAAACCTACCAGGTATCTATTAAAAAAGAATTCTTAAAAAGTCTTCAGGGAATTAGAGCAATTCAACTTCTAGCAGAGGAAGCAGCAGAGAGGAAGCCCAGAGAGACCACTCTGAGGATCTCGAGTAGGGCCCATCGCTTTACTGTGGAGCGTTTTATTTACGTAACACTGAAGGCAGTATGTGGAGGCAAATGGGCAAACTACTAATTGTTAATACGTATTTATCATCCCTGTAGATTGCTGTGTGTTTAGATTAGTTCACAGTTTTTTTTTAAGTATTAAAGAAAACTCTTGGGATTGGGAGAGGGCAGAGGTGGACACAGGTTTTCCCCTTTCCCTTACAACCTGGGGGAAACGTGTGCAAGCCTCTGTAGAGATGCTGTAATGGCCAGAGGCTGACCCTCAGACCCTTCCTCTGGTCTGTGGCAGCATGAGGTACTTTGACAGAGCTGCGTTGTTCGTGGAGGCCTGTCTGAAGTACGGCACCATGGAGGTCACTGAAGAGACAGATATCCTTTGTGGGCATGGGTGCTGGGGGGAGAAAGTGCCACAGGTGGGTCTTCCGTGCCACCTAGACAGGGACCAAACTACGTTGAGAAATAGTCAACTTCTCCACAGGCAGGAGAGAGAGAGAAATGGGAGGGAAAGACAGGAAGAAGGCCCCACTTCCCTGACGTTTGCAGAAAGGAGACATACAGGGTAAGGCTCCAAAAGTGTGTCCTTTGGCCTGGACTTCAGATGAAGACGGGACATAATTTCAGAGATGTGGAGAGGGCTACTGCTGTGAAGAGCACTCTTTCCGAAGAGTGCATTCGGTGGCAGACAGTTTTCTGCATTTCTTTGGCATGAATGAGAAAGAGACTCACTATTACCCACAGTGAAGAATCTGATATGGAAGAAAATGCAGCACCCCTGAGATTTGTCCTGCCGACGGGTCGCCAGGCCCATCTGTAGCCAAGACCTGTCATGTAGGTGGGTCACTGGGCCCACCTGTAGCCAAGACCTGCCATGTAGGTGAGTCACTGGGCCCACCTGTGGTCAAGACCTGCCATGTAGGTGG